AATCTCTCTGTTAAACAGAAAATGTGGGTAAAAATAAACAGGGGGGGCTAATAATTCAGGCGGGATAGTAATTTTATTAATCTGTATATTGTTTTTTTTTTTGTTTGTTAATTTCAGTAATATTATTGAAGGATATGCAACTGTTTAAAAGAATTATGTAAAATACAGTGTGAAACGTAGTAAGGTATATTATGAAATATACTCGTTGTTTTCCACAAAGGGGGTTCTAGCTGGATATACTTTCGTTTGTTTAGGTTTCAGCTCCTACTCTTAAAATGATTCTACCTAAATCCACAGATATTTTACCAAATTCTACACAGAAATAGCTAAATAAAGCACTGGTTATAACATTAAATTTGTCACAAACAGATAGTTCTCATCTCTGCAGTGGAAGAGCCCTGTGGATGTCCTATCGTCTGGCCATGTAGTGGTTGTTGTGTATGTATATGTAAGTTTATCAGGACGTCCTGAGCCTGTGATGCTGGTCACATGAGGAACTGCTTTCATTACAGCCTCAGATCATTTTACATGCTGCAGATTTATGTTTACTGGCTGCAGGACGTCAATATCTTGAGCCGAAGTGCTTTGATATGATGCACATGTCTGTACATTTGCATCTTGCCCCGACGTGATCTACACATTCCTGTAAGTCACATGGGGGATTAGGTTTGCCAAGGTTTTTTTTTATTTTTTTTTATTTAAAAGTTAAAGTTTTCCTCAGAGTTGTTTCACTCTTTTATGGACAGCGTTTTTGCTCACATCTACCGTTTCATCTGATTAGATTTAATGATAGTTCAAATTCCTTTTCTTTCTTTCTCCTTCACATTCACATTCCCCTCTAGCTTTTTCACTCTCTCTAATATCTCATTAGTCATCCTGTGCTTTTCTGAACAGCTGACTCGTCTCTCTAATACGACCCAGTCAGGGCTTCTCTTGTTTTCCAAGCTGCACAGATGCCCTGGAAATGAGTCAGTTTCTATTTTTGATAAACATTTAACACCGTCTCTCAGCTGAGTTCATGTCTACCTCACACTGGCCTGTAGCAACACTGGCCCATAATGTCACTGCCAGTCAGTTCACACAACTCAGGCTATGAGTTTGCATTTTGTGCTCAAAGCAAATGATACACAGTCAGAAGAAGTTTACTTTTAATTTGTCAGTATTGCTCACCGACTGATTAGCAAAGAATAGCATTTTAAAATCTGAGAGGTTGTTTTTACTGGATAAATTTCCAGAGGATCTGTCCCATGATCAGGAAACTTTGCTACATCTCCTGCTAATGGCTGCAAGAAAAAATATAACAATTAACTGGTTTAAACCTGAACCACCCACGGTTTCACAGTGGATACAAAAAATCAGACAGTTATATTCAATGGAACAGTTGACAGCACAAATACAGCTGAAGACTCAAATCTTTGAAAGAAGATGGGGACCAGTTCAAAGCCTCATTGGATAGGTCACTTATGTCTCTAAGTTTGTATTTTTGCTTGAAGTTTGTCTATTTACTTTTATTTATTTCTTTTTTCTTTTTTCCTCAGATCATTATATATATCTTTATTTGTATGCTCGGGCCCAATCTCAGGACTGTTCTTATTACTGTTTGTATTATGTTGACTGCTGTCAATAAAAGTTCAAAAAAAAAATCTGAGAGGTTGAATTGGCCATTCCTATTTTTTAATCTAGGGCTGGACCATATGGCAAAAAATGTATAGACTAATAATTAACATTATTTTATATAACACATTTTCATTATTTAACAGATTGAATGCCGCTATTAATTACATTCTGTCTATTTCATCAGCTTTGCAATAACCAGGTTGCTGATAAATATGTTTGTCAATTTTATTTTGTAAGTTTGTGCGAGTGCTATATGCCAGCATGCAGCGAGTTTGTGTATGAGAGTGTTAATTTGGGTTAAAGGATTGTGCATATGCACGGATTGAGTTTATATGTATGTGCGTGTGTTAATGTGGGAGTATATGCACGTATCGAGGTATGTATGAGCGTGTTTGTGGATGTATGCATGCATCAAGTTTGAAGTCAGAATTATTAGCCCTCCTGAACTATTAGACCCCGTTTATTTTTCTCCCCAATTTCTTTTTAACTGAGAGAAGATGTTTTTAACACATTTCTAAACATAATAGTTTTAAGAAACTCATTTCTAATAACTGATTTAATTTATCTTTGCCATGATGACAGTAAATAATATTTGATTAAATTAATATTTGCTTCATTGCCGGTATGTTCTATCGGGTGGAACAGATTTGATGTGTTCCCGCTGCTAGTCGGCACCACTCTCCCGCACATTTTACAGAGCACCGAAACTACAAGTTCATTGGAACTTAAAAAGCTGAACCACTTCCACACCACTGCGTTAGTCTTTCTTCTCTCATAAACTAATTCATCTGCATTCTTACTCGTGGAAGCTTGTTCATTCACAACTATATTCAAGGCACTCATTTTTTAATTTGTAGCTAAACCTTTCTGTGAACTGTGCAAAGAAACTTAACCAAATGCTGAGCACTGGCAGCGTGTCTGTGATGTACGTCATCACGCAAGCAACATCACGCTCTTTCTGACGGCTCAGCACTGAACATCATTCTGTGACAAATATATATATATATATATATATATATAATGCAAATTTATATCGAAATACCAGAAATGGGTTTAAAAATCATATCACAGTTATTGAAAAAAAATCTATTGCGGTATATATTGATATCTAATTATTGTACAGCCCTATTTGAACCCATGTTTAAAAGGGTTTGTCATGACATACTTTTACATATTTTATTTTTTATTTGCAATAAATAATGAAATTGAATGTGGTTATTATTATTATTATTATGAATAATAATATTATTATCATTACTATTATTATTATTATTGTCATTTTGAGTGTATACATATGGGCATTGTCGACAAAGAGTGTGTGTATGGAAATATATTATCCTCCCTTTCTGTTAAATTTGATCTAATCCATGTCCTGAAACACACCCCCTCGCCTGCTTTCACTTCTCATTCTAACGGTGGCAGTGATTCGTTTATGAATGAATCCCGTTATGAACGACTTGTTTACTTTGCTGACAATAATAAGTTTTTAGCACCGCAGCAGCCTGTTGTCGTATTTCATTTACATTGTTTGCTTATTTTATTTAACCAAACTAGCATAAGTTGAGTATTTAGTGCAAGTATTTAGTTGGTTCTACTTTGCCTTATGGTGAATGCAGTAAGTGAATTTATATAATCATCAATAAAATGACTTGTTTTGCAAAAAAAATTAATATACAAAATGTAAAAAATGAAATCTTACCTATGAAATGTGATGCGTTTATGCTTTGTTTGCATGTTACTACACCCGTATACAGCGCAAAAGTCCAGCATCTTCACATTGGCTTTAGGCCCCGTTTACACTAGTGCGTTTTAGTTTTAAAACGGCGTTTTAGAATGAAAACGATCCGCGTCCACACTCGCGTTTTACCCAGCGTTTCTGAACTGCTCTCCGTCCACACTAAAACGCTGAAAACGCACATAACGTGACCACACACACACTTTGGCAAGCGCTGCAGCCCATCTACCCAGATGAGAGCTCTGCTGGTCGGACTTCTCATCAAGCATCTCCCGCTGGATCTAATCTCACTATATTTATTTAACGTGATATTTCATTCATCTTGTTGTCTTTATCTAACGACATATTCCCTGACTTTGGTCATTGGAATCTATTACTTGTTCTCAGGTAACGTGTTTTGGCTGAGCGCAAAGATAAGTTAATGATTAATGTAACCACGTAGCCTATTCTGTATATTGACTGATCGCTTGCCTTTATTTCCTATAATGTATAAACTTATTGTATGTTATACTTTTATAATGGCCATTATCGATTATTAAAACTGATATTCAGCAAAAGAGTGGGTATGTTTCGTATTTTCACTGAAATTGAAAGGAGGCAGTTGTTATCGGCTCCGTTTTGTTATAAATATCCACACAGTGAAGATGACGCTCAGGCAGCACAACGCCTCAACATTTCTGCTGTCTGTTTAGTTGTTAATATTAAAATAAAAATAGGCAGTTCCTTATCAAGTTTACATTTTATTGTTGAGAATGTGAAACAACGTAGCCAGGGTGATGTGAATGAAATTATAAAGTACACTGTTCACTGTGAAGATTGACGCGTGTCCTCGGTATGTTTTCCATATCAAACTGAGAAGAAGAGATGCAGCCTTGATCAAACTTGCGAAGTCTGAACTTACACGGAGAAGATTCAGGACTGAACTGTGTGTTAGGCTACTTAATATTGAGGAAAAGCCCCAATCAGAGAGGCGAATGTCTGCAGCCCCGCCTCCGTTTTCAGATGCCTCCGTCTTTCCCCATCCACACTGAGACGGAGCAGCAGCGTTTCAGAATGAAAACGGCCTCTCCAGCGTTTTCGAAACGCTCCGTTTTCGGCGCTCGAGAACTCCGGCGTAGTGTGGACGGATGGCGTAACCGTAGCAAAACTTATGCGTTTTCAAACTAAAACGCATTAGTGTAAACGGGGCCTTAGTCTTGACTAGCAGGGTTGAATGACATTTGTCCTGGGAGCACTGTACAAATGTGGCGGCGCTATAAACGCTTCCTCAGGGTCTGTATGTAATATCTAGCATATATATCTATACTGAATACCGTTTGACTTGGCAGAAAATTATTTAACAGTTTATTTGTATCTTTTATCTGTTGTATTTAACTTTGCTTTTCATTTTGTAAATGCTAGTATGCAGATATGCTCCCCAAAAATTATCCTAAGTGATCTAAAATTATAAAATTCTTTACAAGCTATTCAAGTCTTGTCACAATATATATCGCAGTAAATGAAAATATTACATTTTTTCCCAATATCAAGAAGTCCTAGTTTCTAGAGAAACTGAATAATTAATTAGCTATTATTACAAGGAATCAATATGGTTAGTTTTGATTTCATGTATACTTATGCGCAGTCTTCTCTCTCTTTCTCCATCCAGCAGGCCAATGAAGCCCTCCACCACCAGCATCAGGTCAATCAGAACAGCCTGCTGCCTCTGCTCAACTCTGAGCCGCAGGATCAAAAGCCTGTTCTCCCCATCCCGCTGGACCAGAAGCCCCCAATCATTTCATCCGACCTCCTCAAAGACAACTTGGGTGGCGGAACGGGTGGAGGAGGAGGCGGCGGAGGTGGGGGTCCGGTGGTCATAAAAAAAGAGCCCAAATCAAAAACACCCTTCATATGCAGCTACTGCAGCAAGGCCTTTCGGGACAGTTACCACCTCCGACGGCACGAGTCTTGTCATACAGGCATTAAGATGGTGTCCCGGCCCAAAAAGACCACCACAGCGCCCACCATGGTGCCTCTCATTTCCACTGTGCCACGCGACAACAACGGAAACCCATCTTATGTGTCAACAGTGGCGGGCATCCTCACCACAGCAACCACCTCAGCATCCACAGCCGCAGGCATCATGTCAGTTCTGCCCCAACAGCAGCCAACCGTGCCCAAAAAACCCCCCAAACCGGTAAAGAAGAACCACGGCTGTGAGATGTGCGGCAAGGCCTTCCGGGATGTCTACCACCTCAACCGGCACAAGCTCTCGCACTCGGACGAGAAGCCCTTTGAGTGCCCTATATGCCACCAGCGCTTCAAGAGGAAGGACCGCATGACGTACCATGTGCGCTCGCATGATGGCGGCGTGCACAAGCCCTACATCTGCTCCGTTTGTGGGAAGGGCTTCTCTAGGTGGGTTTAGCATTTTGGATTTATTTACATAAAAGCATTAATTTCTTTTGATGGTGGAATTTAAGTATCTATAACGTATTCTTTTTAAGCATTATAAACTCTAGATGATGGATAATAAAGAAAGTGTTTTCTTTCCAAAGATACTTGAACTGTAAACGTAGACCAAATTATTTAGCAACTTTTACTGTTATAGTTAGGGAAGGTCATTTTTGAGAAAATGCCTCTGACGATGAGGGAGTGATGGGCACTGATATAGCCTCAGAAAACTTTTAGCAGAAATCTCATTTTGAATGCTATTTTAATGAAATTTGAAATATAAACTCATGAGTATGGACAGACAGAATCTGCAGACATTTTTTGCTACTTCTGCAAAAAATTTAGTTTAAAATCTGCGGTTTTATGCAGAACAATTTTGGGAGTATCGTAACTAAAGTCATATTAGTCAATAATATTACTGAAATTAATTTAAAATTTAAAAACTAAATAATTATAAATTTTCACACGTTTACACGAGTAAATAATCCGAATCAATGATGGGCAAAAAATTTGTGGAATTCTGCGCATGCAGATTCCGTGTGGGCCTACTCATGAGAACACTTGGCTTTCAAGGCATATTTTTTTCTAGGTCATTACATTTAATGATTTGCTGTGTTTGTATATGAAAAAACAAATAGTGAACACAATACAGTCTTTCTTTCCCATGACTTCATAATGAATAACTTTTTATATTTTTGAGCATAAAACTTCCCAGATGGACCATAGTAAAGCTCAGTGTCTTCTTTCCAATTATATCTAATGTTAGTTTGTTTGTAGCTCAATGGGGTCAAGAACTGTTACTATTTAATGTTAGGTAGTTGTAAATCCCCAAAGGTCAGTGGTGACTAACAGGTAAAAAGAACCTGATGATGGAAAATGGATATGTACATTGAAGTTGTTGTTTTTTTTTTGTTTGTTTTTTTTTCTCGTCCAACAGGCCGGATCATCTTAGCTGTCATGTCAAACATGTACACTCCACAGAACGACCCTTTAAATGCCAAGTAACGGTAAGATTGCTCAATAGATTTTTTTGCAATAGCTTTGCAAGAAATTATATATATATATATATATATATATATATATATATATATATATATTAGACAATTGTTAAAAGAAAATGTTGGATTAGATTTTTTAAACCTAAATCAGTGCCCTGGATTGATGACAATATACGCTCCTTAAGGCAGATTTGCAGGAGAGCGGAGCGTTGGTGGAAGTAGGATGAGCTCCAAATTTCCTTTGAAATACTAAAAGATTCACTGTTTAAATTTCAAAAGGAAATGAGATTAGCAAAATCAAGTTATTTTGCGGCAATTATTGACACAAATTACTATAGACTAAAAACTCTTTTTACCATTTTTAATAATGTTGTGAATCCGACTGTTGGTGTGCTCCCAGATGTGTCAAAAACAAGGTGTGATGAGTTTCTCTTTTTTTTTTTTTATTAATAAGATCAGTAATATTAGACTGGGGATTTCACCATCTGTTTCTGATCCTTCTGTTGGTTCGGTGTGTTCTACTGTCTTTAGCCAGTTTGAAAATTTCTTTTACACAGCTTAAAGAAATTGTATGTCAGTTAAAGCTGTCTGGTTCTTCCACTGATGCTCTTCCACCATATTTCTTTAAGCAACTTAGATCCATCTGTTTTAGCCAATTATAGACTCATTTAAAATACGTCTTGTATCACAAAGATCTTAGAAAAAGTACTATTGCAGCAGCTGCAAAGATTTTTAGATGATCACAAAATTCTTGAGGTCTTTCAGTCAGGTTTCAAAAAGTCATCATCATTCAACCAAGACTGCACTTGTTAAGGTTTTAAATTATATTTTGCTTACTGGTGATGCTGGGGACTGTGCGGTACTTGTGCTGTTAGATCTGAGTGCTACATTTGACACAGTAGATCATGCCGTCTTGTTGGCCCGCTTGGAGCATGTTGCGGGTATAAAAGAAAGTGCCCTGAATTGGTTTAAATCCTCTGTCCAATCGTAGTTTTGAAGTCACTATTGGAGAGCATTCATCTGAGGCAGCACATTTGTCATATTTTTCTCCCCATTTTCTGTTTATCAGAGAGCAGATTTTTTTAACACATTTCTAAACATGATAGTTTTAATAACTCATTTCTATTAACTGATTTATTTTATCTTGCCATGAGTACAGTAAATAATATTGTACAAGATGTTTTCAACACACTTCTATACAGCTTAAAGTGAAATTTGAAGGCTTAACTAGGTTTTTTAGGTTACCTAGGCAGGTTAGGGTAATGAGGCAAGTCATTGTATAACGATGGTTTGTCCTGTAGACTATCGAAAAGAAAAATAGCTTAAAGGGGCAAATAATTTTGACCTTAAAAATTATTTTTTTTATTTTTTTTAAATAAAAACTGCTTTTATTCTAGCTAAAATAAAACAAATTAGACTTTCTCCAGAAGAAAAAATATTATCAGGCATACTGTGGAAATTTTCTTGGTCTGTTCAACATCATTTGTAAAATATTAAAAAAAGAAAAAAAAATCAAAGGGGTGCTAATAATTCTGATATACATATTTCTATAAATAATTCTATATATATTTTTTATCTGTTTTGATTTGTACAGTGCAGCACATTGGTCAACCTCTGGTTGTGTTAAATAGTGCTATATAAAAAAATTGACATTAATTGTTTTCGTTAATGTTTTTTTTTATTATTTACTCAAATTATTTCATTTTTGTATTTCTATATTTTTTAAGCAGTGAATTTAGTTGAAATGTTATATTTGCTATATTAAGTACAGTGGTCCCTCATTATTCACAGGAGTTTCGTTCTAAAAAAATAACCCGCGATAGGAAAAATCAGCAAAGTAGTCTGCTTTATTTTTTACAATTATTTTAGATGTTTTAAGGCTGTAAAACCCTTTAAAACCCTGTAAAACGTTTTAACAGACAGGCATTAACATTTTCACACCTTTCTCTCTTGTTTAAACACTCTCAAAGCTCAAACCTTAAGTCCAGTATTATAGAATGAAACCAAAGATCTTTGGGTGCTAGCACAGGTGCCTTTGATGGTGCAGAACGATTCGTCAGCATTGTGGGGAGAAAACTTACAAATAGCAATACAGTACAGCACTTCAGTCACACTGCTAGTGATCAAAGATTTATGTAATTTAAGGAAGCTGAGCCCATTCTGTACTGTACAGGAGACATGTCAGTCAGGACACAAAACACAATGCTCTAATTAGGACGCAGAACACAATGCACTAAAAAAAAAAAGCATGTCAAATTGCACAAAAAAAAATCTATGAGGCCGTGAAAGGGGAACTCCGTTACAGTGAGGGATCACTGTATCTACAGTATGTACTGTTTATGTTTTTTCATATAATCTCACATTTACAAAGAAAATTGCAATATTTTTCATTTGAAAAAAAAAAAGTTTTCTTTTATAAAACATTTTTACATTACTAGAAATTAATATTACAGATAATTATGTACAGTAAAAAAACATCTTCTACAAAGAGAATTACATCATTTTAAATGTATTTTTAAAATTACTGTTGGTTGTTTTTATAAAAAAAAAATTTCCAACATATCTACATTTCTTTCTTTACAAGAAAACATTTTTCCATCTTTTTTATCTTTGCCAGAAATTATTAAAAAAAAACTTTAAATAAACTGTCAAATAAATAAAAAAAGAATCTTCAGTTATTTTTTTTTTATATTAAAATACTTTTGATATTTCTGCAAAATGTTAAACTTTTACAAACAAAAACTTTGCTAGGAATATTACATTTTTGAGTCATTTTGTATTTATTGATAATCAAAGTTCTGCAAACCAAGACTTGACACTGAGTTTGATTGGTCCGTCATGGTTAACTTGTATTTCCTTGACTTAAGGCCTGCACATCTGCCTTCGCCACCAAAGACCGTCTGCGTTCACACATGATACGACATGAAGGCAAAGTCACCTGCAACATCTGTGGGAAGATGCTGAGCGCCGCCTACATCACCAGCCACCTCAAGACCCATGGCCAGACCGGCTTCACCTCGACCTGTAACAAAGGTAGAACAAATCTCTACCAATACTCTGTCTTCTAAGAGGAGATTGATTGATTGATTGATTGAGGAAGTTACAAAATTGATTAATTCAATATCTTCAATATTGATGTTATTAAATGCTGAATAGTTCTTCTTATTAAACTTGTAAAGTCCGCAAATATTATCTGTCTACATAATATTTTTTAAATATTTCCCAAATTATTTTTTAACAGAGCAAGGAAATTTTCACAGTATGTCTGATAATATTTTTTCTTCTGGAGAAAGTCTTATTTGTTTTATTTCGGCTAGAATAAAAGCAGTTATTAATTTTTTTAAAAACATTTTTGGGACAAAATTATTAGCCCCTTTAAGCTAATATTTTTTATCGATAATCAACAGAACAAAACATCGTTATACAATAACTTGCCTAATTACCCTAACCTGCCTAGTTCACCTTATTAACCTAGTTTAGCCTTTAAATGTCACTTCAAGCTGTATAGAAGTGTCTTGAAAAATATCAAGTAAAATATTATTTTAATATTATTCAATATATTTATATTATTAGCTTTTAAAACTATTATGCTTAGAAATGTGCTGAAACAATCTTCTCTCCATTAAGCAAAAATTCAGGTAATAATTCAGGGGGCTAAGACTTTAACTGTATGTATGTATGTGTATGTGTGTATATATATATATATATATATATATATATATATATATATATATGTATATATATATATATATATATGTATATATGTATATATTAAGGGTGGAGCCGAACCCGAATATGGTATTCGGAAAGGCACGAATAGCGTGTTTTTACGAATACTTGATTCGAACAAATACTTGAAAAATTATTTGTATTCGGGAGCAAGAAAAACACTATATCAAAAAGAAGTGTTTCCTCATGAGACCACAGTGCATGCCCGCGTGAGTGAGTGTTTTTTTTTTTTTTTTTTATAATATTTTTTTGTCTCAGTCCAGCCCTGGTAGAGATATGTGAACAAAGATGTTTAGGCCTGATTTATTAAATTCTGTCTTTGAATAAATTTTTTGAATTCGACTATTTTCTTAACTATTCACTTGTTATTTCTTGTAAATACAGAAATACGTTGTTAAAGAAAATGCTTTTAAACCAAAATGCTCAAGTTTTTATTCAATCGTAGTAACATCCTAGAAATCACCCCAGTATTTTATTCACAAACTTCCATTTCCCTTTTTTTCCCGGCCAGACTCTAACAACGTGTGCAACTCTGCCTCAGCCACACCGGTCACTGCCTCAACCGCGTCCAACACTACGGCCATGATCCGCGGCAGCGCCAGCAACCCCGTCACCATCGCCGCCCAGATGAACATCACCACCAACACAGTCAACATCACGTCCCCTGTCAGCCTTCAACACCCGGTCACCATCACTGCCCCCGTCAACATCGCCTCAGTCAACATCCCGGCCTCGGCACCCATGAACATCGCCCATCCTGTCGCCATCACCTCGCCCATGTCAATGAACATCACCGGGCCGCTCAACATCGCCATGAGGCCCATGGAAAGCATGCCTTTCCTCTCGCAGGTCTTGCCTTCCACTCCTCCCTGGTAGAGCCCAAATGTCCTATCCCGGGCCATATTAGTCTTCCTCTCCTGCTGCGAGGGGTGAAAAAGGCGACTTTAGGAAAATGGCGGTCTGCAGCGAGGAATCATGCGGATTATAGCTGGCACTTTGCGTCTCCAGATTGTTTAGAGTTTAGTTGACGGACAGAAAAAAAAAAAACGAAAATAGTTATTGCATGGAGTGGAAGACTGACATGCTGTACGTTTGGTGATTTTATCTCAATTTTCTAGTGCCAGAAAATTGTCAGAAGTGGAGCACGTCGCCGCTTCATTGTTAGTGTTAACGGTTTAAAGACTTTGGCGAATATTAACTGTGAGGATTTTTATTTTTGTTACATTAGCTTGCTTATCAGTATTTCATAGGTTTATGCATTTTTATTGAGTCACGTACAACAAAAGGGACAGTGGCTTCCGCTAATGGAAGACGAGAGGGTTTTATTATGTTTTATTTTGGAGACAATACTCTACAAATGAGGAAAACTGAAATTTAGAGTGAGTTTTGTTTTTAAGAGGCCTCCTTTTGTTGCCTTTTAATCTGTAGCTGTGTTTTTATTCTCATAAATATTCTAATTATTATTCTTTATAGGTAATCTCTGGAGTTGGTCATTCCTGATTGTAGAATAATTACATTCTGTTTCAGTAGCCGGGATACACTTCTGCTTAGTGGGGTTGAACATTTAACAATCTGATGAGCTCTTGCACTGAACACATATCTCTTTGGTGATTATTCTGATGGCAGTATTATTTTAGATCAAATATTTTGAGTGTTCGTATATAGATGCCTGGTCACCAAGTGGCCGACTTCAACACTGAAATGTCCATTTTTATTCTGAATTTTATCTTAAGAGCATTTAGTTTTGTAACAGTGACGTATCTGCTCTTCCTTTCCGAAGGATGAGGGCTGTTTTTTTCCTAAGGATCTTTTGCTCAGGAAATTTGCTGAGGGTTTCCCAACTTGCTGTGCTCCTGTGGTGGACAAAATCACGTCTAACGCTGTCTTCCAGACCTAATTATCTACACACTAAATGTCGTTCCGTTTGTCGGGGAATAAAACAAACAAACTGAGACGCATCTCAGAGGGCGAGGTGCCAAATACTGTTCAGCCGTTGGTGTGATTGTCCATCCCAGGAGCGTAAAGTTAACCCCTGTTGCGTGTCCGTTTACCCTGTCACCATAAAAACCAAAACTGCCTTCAAATTTTCAGGGCTTGTTCGGAGTAACCCTGTTCTAAATAACTGATTGGCCATCGCAGATATCCCCAAACTAGCTTTTCTCGTTGATTTCTCTCTTTTTGTTGGATATATAAAAGCAATATGCCTTTCACAGTCCTCCTGTTGACCCATCCGGACAACTGTCGCACCCGTATTTATGTGTTATGATATGGGGAAACTGATGCAAGGTATGTTGTCACGTGTCTCCCTCTGAACCGGGGGTGTGTTCGCTTGTATGATGTGAATGAGTCTGAAACAAAGAGCAAAACCAGCTGAATGTGATCGTATTATAAATGATGATGATGTCATAGCTACCACCATCTGGGTGCAAATTGTGCTGTGAGCAGTAGTGTTTGAGTTTGGAGATTAGTTCACCCTGAAAGTTTTAATTCTGTCATCTATTCGCCTCAATGAAATTTGTCCGTCTTTTGAAAGCACATTTTTTTTTAAATAATAAATTTCGATAGATTTTCGACGTTCATAAAATTGCTTTAAAATGTTTGTAAACAGATAAAAATGTAAATCTATGTGACCCATTCTGTTTAACCCAAGTCTTCTGATTAACACATTTAATCTAGGCTTTTTTACACCTACAAACATAAACAATACCTCAACAATATCTGAGTGAAACATGAGGATAAACATCATTGGTTTATGCAGAGGATCAAATATGTTGATGTGACAGAAGCGAAGATTATTAGTTTTTGCCCAAGCAAGCATGCTTGTGTCCATATTTTTAAAGTCCATGTGCAATCAATGTACTAGCATACATTGTTATTCTTTAGCTGAAAAAACTGCAGGTTAATCCACTGAAAAAAAAAAAGTATTGCTTTGGTAATCTTCAAAGTCTGACTATTTGCTTTCTCTGTTGATGTCAGTTTGATGGCTGGAGCCAGAATATTCATTCAACATACTGAAATAAAAGTCTCAGCAATTTCCAGTTTATGCGGCCTTTAATGCTGTAAAATAGCTGTACACTGTTAAAAATACTGGGCTCCCACAATCCATTTGTGTTGGAAGTACATTAAGGAATTAAGTTAACTTATTATTTTTTTTATAAATTTAAATAGATTGGACATAAAACAATTAAGTTGTCGTGTACTTGCATCAAAAAATAAATAAATACAATGTACTTACTGTGTTTATAATGTATTTGAGAACACTTGTGGTGCTCTTGAGTTTGGATATGGCTGTTATGGGCAGGTCTGGTATTATGCACTGTAAAAAGTAATTAGTTACTTAAAGTGAGTAAATCAGTTGCCTTAAAAGCAACAAGTTGACTTCACAAAGATAATGTAAGTAAACCCATTTAAACTTGGAACTGTTAAGTGGATTTTTACAATTATGAATTTTTTTTAAAAAAAATTAAAGTCAACTTATCCCATTTTACATTGTCAGACTATTTTAGGTTTATGTTTTCAAATAAATACTGTAATTATTACAATATTACATATTTGATGCTTCATTAAGTCAATAAAATCTACAATTACAGCCTGTATTGAATTTAGCAGAGACACTGGAGTCTGGAAGAGCAGATTTATTTTAGTTACTGTCATTTTGCTATACAGAAAAGCTGGGGAAAAACATAATAAAGGTGCACTGGAAATAGTGATTAGTTTACTTTAATTTTTTTAAGTGAGTACAATTTGTATAGTTATAAAAATTAAGTCAACTTTACAGTTTCAAGTTACAATGGGTTTACTTGCATTATTTTTGTAACGTTAACTTGTTTCTTTTGGGGCAATTGATTTACTAGCTTTGAGTAACTAATCACATATTACAGTGTGGGTAGGTTTAAGGGTGGGTTAAGGTGTAAGGAATGGTCAACAGTGTATTTACAAATGTATTTACAGAAGTTAAGTATAGATGTAAAAACATGCATGTATTTAATAAAGCATAAAGGCAATGTAAATGCATGTATTTACACAATTAGTGCATTGTAACGAATTATTAATTTCAGTGTAAGTACATATTAGTTAAGGCCACTTAATATAAAGTGGGATCCAATATTCTTAACCACGCAGGAATGATGTGCAAGAAAAGCCCCGCCTCCTACTCAATATTCATTTTTAGTTGGAGGTACATCAATAAAATTAAATAAACGTCTCGGCAACTTCGGGTTCATGCGTTCTTTATGCTGAAAAATGGCTGTACACTATTTAAAACGCTGGGCTCCACACAATCGAGTTGTGTTTGGAGAACATGAAGAAATTAAGGTATCTTACTATTTTTTTACATATTTAAATGGTTTGAGCATAAAGCAATTAAGTTGTTGCAAAACAAATTGTGTTGTTTCAGCCCAATTTGAATAAGTAGTTTGAACAAACATCAAATCTCTTTTTTTCTTTTTGAGTGCAAGCTTATGGATTTGTTTTGATATCTACATGAACTTTTTGAAGCCTCAGAGCTGAACAGACTTTAAGTGGATGGACAAAAATCTCTCTGATTTCATTCAAAATATCTTCATCTGTGTTCTGAAAGATGGACGTTGTGATATTAGAGTTAATAATGACTGAATTGTGATTTTTACAGTGAACTAATCTTTAAACTCGCACCCCCAGTGTTTCCAAACCAGTGCTGACCTGGTAGCAGAACATTTGAGGTCTCAAGTCAAGTTAGTCTTACATGGACTTACATGTGAAATGCTGAAATCACTCAATGGCCTGTTTCCTTTTCATTCTGTTTGTTTTGAAATGTTGCCTTCAGTCGAGGCGGATTAACATGGAACTGGAATTTGAGGAATCTGACTGAAAACACTAAAACAACACGAGGGGAAAATAGACAGTGTTTCTAATTGTGCTTGTGATTTTTAAATGTTTGTCCTTCCGCAATGGCGTCACTTCCGTGCCTGAACTGCATGTCTGAAAATGCCACCGTGAAACGCATCAGTCTTCTCTCTCTGTGCTCAGTGATGGAAACTGCCTGGGCGGCAAACTGCAGTTTAACTGTTTACCAAATGTGTGGAGATTTAGAATCTATTTTGCATATGAAATATCAAGTTGCCATGTTTGAGGAATTATGATTTCGTTTTTTTTTTCTAATATCCTAAAAAGTATTGCTCATGAAGTTACTCCTTATGCATCAATATGTTTTAAAGAACATTACTGGGGGAAAAAAAGAGAGCTTGTGTTCAGTTTTTGGATTTGGAGATTTCAAAAAATGAGTCCAGTCCTTTCATGTCCTTTTAATTAAATTGGCAAACCCATGTGAAGGCCAATGAATGTATATCTTTGTACAAAAACATTTAGCTCAGAGAACGTGGTAGTTATGATAGACACATGCAAGGAAAAACACAAGTAAAATAACCTTTTATAAGACCTTTTGTATTAGAACATTAACATTGGTAATTTTGTATATAAATATATGAAGACTAGGCTTTTTTGGTTAGCAGAAAGGTAAAAACATTCCTACTTTTTTATGTATGTCAAAAATAATTATGTAAACACATCGCGCAATGTTTTATGTGCCTTTTATTTGGGTTGTCTAAATAAAAGAACTGTCAAGTATGATTCGACTCCTTCTGTGAAAGCATTTTTTATACATGCATAAATACAAACAGTACACTGTAAAAAAATATCTGTAAATTGACAGTTTTATGTTTTGTTCTTTGCTTATTTATGCTTTTGAATTGCATTATGGGATCTTGATCTTTTCTCCAAAAGCTTTTAATCTTGAAATGTTTAAAAAAGGGAATTTATTGATATTTTAAATAGCTTATAGTGATAAATTGTCTGGCTTGTTGTTATATTTACAGTACAAAAACCTGGTAATAAGCTGCCAGTATATGGGGCTAATAATATGCCCAAACTATCTCAATTTGAATTATATGTTGTTTGAATTATTGACAATTGTAATTTAATATATCTGAATTTTTATATGCCGTTAAAAGTTTTTTTGAATTTAAATGTATTTAATTAAATTTGAATTTTATGACTTGAATATTGAACATCTGAAACTTAAAACAACTGATTTTTTATAGCCGTATATCAAAGTTCAGATTTTTTGTGTTCTGAATTCAGAATGCAGATATCCAGTTTGTAAAAATATAGTTTCAAATTATCAAGATTAGGAAATTCAGAACACCAAAGTCAGTATTCTAAAATTCAAAACCAGAAATTCAGTTTCGACAAAAAGTAGGTCAGAAGTGATCATCAGGGAAGAGAAGACTTAGTCTTAAATTTCAGATGTTCAATATTCAAGTTATGAAATTCAAATAAAAAAAATTTAAAACAATTTTTAATAGCATATAAAAATTCAGAATTATTTAATTACATTTAAAATACTTTTGTTTGATCAAAAATGTCATTCCAACATTAATATTGTGAAATAATATTTCAATTTTAATTGTTTGCATCGTGTGTGAATACATTTTAAATGAAAATTTCGTGATTCAATGTCAAATTTCTCTCAGGCATTCAATATGTTTTTATTATTATGTTTTCTAATAGTATTTGTATAATAATTTAACATTATTATAACTGGCAGCACAGTGGCTCAGTGGTTAACAGTCACCTCACAGCAAGAATGTCACTGGTTCGAGTCCCCGCTGGGTCAGTTGGCATTTCCATAGTGTACGGGTGTTTCCCAGTTTTGGGTTGTGGCTGGAAGGGCATCCTCTGTGTAAAACATACGCTGGATAAGTTGGTGGTTCATTTCGCTGTGGTGAACCCTGATGAATAAAGGGACTTAGCCGAAGAAAAATTAATTCAATAAATATTATTACTATTATATAGTTGTCATTTTCAAGATTATTATATATCAAATACAACCTTGGTGTGCAAAAAGAAGCTAAATCAAAAACATTAACAAATCTTTATATATCCAAACTTTTCAAATGAAGAGTTCAGATGCAAAAACCTCTAAATCCAGAAGATTTCTTTCAAAATTAGCTTTTTTGTGTGTGTGTGTGTGTGTGTGTGTGTGTGTTTATGTTAATATTTCGGTGCCACAGTGGTTAGCACGATTGCTTCACAGCAAGAAGGTCGCTGGATCGAGCCAAGGGGCTGGGTCAGTTGGCATTTCTGTGTGGAGTTTGCATGTTCTCCCCTTGTGAGCATGGGTTTCCTTCGGGTGCTCCGGTTTCCCCCACATTCCAAAGATATGCGAGACAGGTGAATTGAATAAACTAAATTGGCTGTTGTGTATGAGTGTGAATAGAAGAGTGTCTGTAAGAGTGGGTGTTTCCCAGTGTTGGGTTGTGCCTAGAAGGACATTCGCTGTATAAAACATGCTGGATAAGTTGGCAGTTCATTCTGCTGTGGCGACTCCTTATTAATAAAGGGACTAAGCTGTAAAGAAAATGAATGAATAAATTAATGTTGATATTTCATGTTAAAGACAATAAAACCTATTCTTTAGCATAAAGTGAAATTAATTAATCTACACAAGGAGGCGTCTAAACTACTCATTCTAGCAGAAGATATCAGACGACATTAAGAGGCCTTTACATGTGAACTTCATATGTTTTATTGGAAATGCATTGACTATATTTCAGGTGTATCCTCTGCGGCTGTAGTCTTTCTCTCTGTCCGCTAGGCGGCCGTGTGGCTCTTTGTTCACCCACACAGAGATTGTGGCTGTGACAGATTTTTTCCCATCTCTTTGATTCATCCTGATACACAACAACACACTGGCTGCTAGTTCCCTTTCAGTGGGGATTTCAGGCGCTGAGCATGAACACGCCGACTGGGTCCCAATCGGTGTCGACAGAGATGATGTACGCCGATGTATACAGTCTTTTAAAGCCCAAGGAAATGAGCGACTAGTGTTTATATTTAGGATAAAGGGGAAAACGGGACGGATTGGGAACGTGCGCTGTGGAGTCTGCTTCTGTTCACCTAGAGTAAGTAGCTTTGTTTTTTACACCAGCTTGAATTTACATACAACTCTGAGGGTTTCACAATATATTTAATGGTGGCATTATTAGGATTTAGTTTATACGTTGCTGAAATCGCTATATGGGTGATTTATGGTTGCTTTACACGTCTTTGTTTAGAGTACTGTTGTTGAGCAGTGTGTTGTGAACTGCTGCGGCCTCCAGTTTTATTTACACTTCAAGTGAACGTGTTTATATGCGTGATAGGAGATTTCTGTGTTTAAATATAGACAGGGAATTCCACATCTTAAATCTGGGAAGTGCTGCCCTTCTGTCATAAATGTGGTTGGTTGTGCTTCAAATGCTAGTTCGCTCTCTAACGTTAACTAGACTGCACGTTTGGGTATTACTGACGCGTATTAATTCGGCAGTTATGTCCGATTCTTCAGCGAATCGTTATTTTGAGTCGGTTCGTTTTACTGAATCGATTAAACATGACCACTCGTGCACCAAATGAACGTAATCGGCTCGAGTAGTTTTTGAGTAAACGTGCGTTATACACGAGTACACTATAGCAAATAGTACTAAAATGATACTTAAGTTAAAGTATTACTTGCCTAAAATGGAGTGTAAGTAGAGTAAAAGTGAATATTACTCAAATTATGAGTGAAAAGTAAACCTTTCATAAGTACTCAAGAGTAGTGAGTGTTATACTATAAAAGGCTGATGCATTCACATATAATTTGTGGATGTGTGTAAACGTAACATTCTGTAGTGCATTTGGTTATTCCCTAGCCAGCACACAATCTCATAAGACGTTAATAATTGGTTAGATTTAGGTTGTGACGTCAGGTGACCAAAATTAAATGTCTAGCCAGCGTCTAAGGACAATGTTATTTTGATGTCCAATTACCACGTCAAAGTTTGGTTGATTTTAGGTAATACCTGTCAACATTGGGATGTAAATATAAGGGATATGCCCACCATAATAAGGGACTACTACCCCTCACCCCTGTTTCTAGTTAAAGCAATATTATTTTCACACAGCTGCTTTTTTAACAATATCTTCCATAAAGTACTTTTGCACATTCATACATGCAAACCTTGTAAGGAAATGCCATTTTCATATTTTGAGACGCAAAACATCAGTGTTTAGCTTGTGAAGCACATTTTGGGGTTCAAAGGTCTAGATCTGTCTGGCAGCCGTAGTCCTGGTTGTTGAAATGTTATTAATGATGGAGGAGGCGGTAAAGGTCTATCAGTCGGACAGCTGGTGCCACTCCTCTCCCCTTAAGTGAAGTCTTGATTTGCATATGGCTACTGACCCTGTTTTTTCCCTTCTTGAAGATGCCGGAGGGTTTGATGGACTGATCGTATCCACTTAAACACCTCCTATTTTGTATGGCATTATCCTATTGAAAGCTTTTAAGAATGTCTCTTGTACTGCTCCAGAACCTCAGAGTCTGGGGGTGATGAACTGGATGTAGATTGACCCCTTCAGATGATTCTCTTTATATAGAGCACAGCAGCTTCCAGAAGTAAATACACTATTGATTTTTCTCCATACAATAGAAATTGATTTCTATTATTGATTTTTATCTTGCATAAAAGCATTTAAATATGTTATTTCTAAAAAAAAAAAAAATACAACCAACTGCTTAAATAAACATTGTCATTATTTTAATTAACTGCATCTTCTGTTATTTTGTACTTGTTTTCTCCAAATTATAGTGGAAGGCTTGGTCATAAATCAGAAAGGCTAAAAAAAGATATGTATTTTTATGACTTATTTTATCTTTTCATGAGCATGTAAATAATCAGAAACTTTGTCGACAGAGAACAGTAATGCTTTGAGACATATATTCGAAGAGATTTATTCCTAAATCTGTTTATTTAAAAAAAAAAAGAAAAAAGAAACTTGTCACTATTGGATGTGTTTAAGCATCTGTATTTTTAATTAATTACTTTAGGACAACCGGTGCTTCCCACACATAGACTTCACGTGGGCGGGCCATCCAGATATAATAACAGCCACCCAAGTATATTTGGTGAAATTTTTTTATTATTATCATCCTCTTTTTGTGTCCGCACATCAGCCAAACATCCGTGATCGATTAACTAGTTTAAAATCTCCTCTAGACCTACATGTTTCCTACTTCTCATTGTGTGTGCACAAGAACTGTCAAAAGTCCCACAATCTCAAGTGTTCCGCAGAGACCCACAGAGACTCGCCTTTTGGGGACTTAATAATGCGTCATTTCAGGGTGTCTAAATCTTCTAAAATGTCCGAGATTCGGCTTTTGATTTCGCTTTGCACAGCCGCAAGACAGAGTTTATTTTCAATTTACTCGGAGAGGGCAAAACTACACCTAAACTGGCTGCAAAATATATGTACATGGTTAGGGGTGGTTAATTAACTCATTTGCCCTATTTAAATAATCTGTATACTCCGGTTTCCCCCACAAGTCCAAAAACATGTGGTATAGGTAAAATGGGTAGGCTAAATTGTTCGTAGAGTATGTGTGTGAATGACTGTGTATGGATGTTTCCCAGTGATGGGTTGCAGCTGAAGGGGCATCCGCTGCGTAAAACATATGCTGGATAAGTTTTTCGGTTTGCAGTGGCGACCCCTGATTAATAAAGAGACTAAGACGAAAATGAATGAAATAATCTACACTTTTTAATCTTGTAATTAATATACTTTTTAGAGATTTTTATTCCATAGATGTTTTTATTCCTTTATGTCATTTATTTCTCTTTTGCTGTATATATTTTTTAATTTTTATCGATGTTGATGTATTACATATTTTATACACATCTAACATGCTTTGGCAATACTGTACAAAATGTCAGCAGCAGATTTGACCTGTCAGTGGGTGCACATGGCTTCTGAATAGATTAAAAGTAAAACAAATAGTGGATTTCTTTTTTTATTTTAACAGTCTAAAAAAAAAAACTTCAGGCCATTGAAAAAGAAACAGTGTATAATAAATAAAATTATTGTTAAAAATCACTTTTTTTGTTGCATGTAGGTAACCATGTGCCGTGGGTAGGTGTGTTTCAATCTGGCTACCACCACAAGTATATTTTAAACCTGTGAAGAGCACTGACAACAAAGTCCCAATTATAATGTTCTGTATATAACTATTAACTATCATAAACTGTTTACTTTTGAAAAGCTCGAACAGGGAGTACGTATTTTAATCTGTTGGCATTATTGATTTGATAATACATTCCACATCCTCTCCAATACTTCTGTGCTCTTATGGATCAAGCAGCATGATTGAAAGACAAACCCTTTACCTTCAGTTTCTGAATGGAATGTTGTATTTATTTTTAGTTTCGTATTTTTCTAGTTGTGCTTATGACAATGTGTAGTTAAAATTCATTTTGTTTTGCTCAAGAAATTATTATTGTTTTTAGTATTTAAGACTTTAGGCCCACCTAATATTTTTGAGGAAACTATGTTTTTTTAATACAAAATCTTTTGTAACATTCTGTATTGTTAGTAGGGCTACACAACTAATCAAAGGTGTTTTTCTTGTGCATTTTGTCAGTGAAGCCGGCTGTACAGTTTCACATGAGAATCAAACTCCTTTCCACAAATTGAACTTTAAAAAAAATGTATGCATTCATGTAATTTTTGAGCAGTTTCACTTTCATTCAGCAACAGCTGAAACAGTTTTTTTCCAGATAGCATAAACGTGTATTCGGTGATGATAATAATGATGATCATGACGATGACGGTTGTGTGTGCACGACTGAAATAGTAATACTCTATGTCTTAATTCAATTTGTGTTTACAACGATTATGACTTTCAGCGTATCTAAAATGCTGTTCCATCACATGTTATGAGTCGTGGTTAATGCATGTGGCTGCAGTTGTAGCAGCCTCGGCTTTTGGACGCTGCAACCTTTGAACTCCGGTAAAGAAAAAAGCGGTTATGTCACACTCACCCGCCCAAGCAAACAAGTGACATGCAACACAGAGGTAGCCCCGGTTGCCAGGTATGTGCAAAGCACTTGATATGCAGTTCAAATCCAATCCTGCCTCCAATCTTAAGTGCTAAATTCAATGTCATGCTTTATCATAATATCACAACTCACAAGACAATCTTTCATGATAAATCTCATCACGATTTTAGCTTAAAGGTGTATACTTCTGCGTCAAGTGATTGGCATAACCCACAGCGCATGCCTTGAGCGTTGTTGTACATTTATACTTCTGTGGGCTGTTTTTGTTGCTCTGCAATAACACCTCTGAAATGCTAGCTGGCAGTAAGTTTTTATGTTTCTGTGTGTCAATTTTGTTTTTTCTGAATGCTACCGTAATATAGCAGGCGCTTAAACTCAGTCATTTTGAGGTGGGAACCAGTGGCCATGCAACAACTTTAATCATAAGGTAAACACAAAACAAGACTTTCCATCTGGACCTCCTTCACTGGACTCAACACGTGTAAACACTCACACCAACAGGTTTGCGCAGCTCTCGGTCCCGCTCACACTCGTCAGGGCTACCAAGCCGATCAATTACAAAGCTCACGCTACACGTTGTTGCAATGTGTAGTTACATTTTTTGAGAGATGCGCGTCAGTATTGGTGGCAACCATGTGCAGGCTGTGCCGGAGCATACACGTGCGCTTAAGGCAGAAGTATAAATCAGCATTTAGTCTCACAAGATCTCTTCACATCCCTACTGACTAACTATGCAAAAATTTTAAGTAGATATAATCTGTGCAATTCTGAAATCGGACTACTATTTGACTGCTTTTTGTGTCACTTTTCTATGAACTACAATTGTTTACTGTGTCATGATGCTGCTACATCTAAAGGCATGTGAAAATGCAGCTTTTAATAATGTTTTCACTCCGTACCTTGTGGAGTTTCAGCACAAGAGCGCTCCATGGCCTTCAGCAGAGATTTACTAGTGATCACAGAGCCATGCATTCTTAACAAGATGTGCATAACAATTGCAGGTTTTTGCTTAATCAATTTCAATTTCAAATCGATTTATATCGTGCAGACCT